TTTTTTTTTTGTCTAAACCCTCCAATCTTGAGTCTCAGTTTCTTCATCTGGAAGGTGGGATCATGCGATTGCTTTTAGGATTTCAAGAGGTATATAGCCGGGCATGGTGGCGCATGTCTGTAATCCCAGCACTCAGGAGGCTGAGGCAAGAGGATCCTTGCAAGTTCAAGACCAGCCTGGGCTACAAAGTGAGCTCAAGGCCAGCCTGAACTGCGTAGGGAGATCCAGTCTCAAAAAGACAGAAAAAAAAAGGATTTCAAAAGGTAAGAGGCAGCACTGGACCCAAAGGAGGGCACTGTTTCCTTTAATGCCTGGGCCCTACTCCATCCCCCAAGCCTGGTCATCCAGCCACTCACTCACCCATCCACCCGTCCACTCATTCACACCCTAACCAGGCACTTCCTACCTGCTTAGACCCTGTGGGGGACGCAAGGATCTTCCAACCCAGGAACGTGTGGGCAGTCTGAATTCACCAGGCAATCTCTGTTCCCTGACCACCAAACTTGGGGATTGGGAAAGCACTCCCACTTTTTCACCTGGGATCCCGGCATGAAATGCCCCGGCCCACTTTCCATCTTAAACGGGAGTCCCCATGCTACTGGGACCCTGGTCCCCTGCCAGCCAGACAGGGTCTTACACACACTATTCCTAGGGATGAGGGGTGGGGCAGTGGCCCCAAACCCACGGGCCCAGCAAAGTGGCGCATGAGGGGCTTGCTAGGCCAGAGCCCCAGAGCCTTGGAGCTGGCAGGGAAAAGTGGAGGCTGGGAGCCCGACTGGACCGGACCGGTCAGACTAGGATGTGCAGCGGGGTGGGACAGAGAGAGCGAGGGAGGGAACAAGTCGAAGGACTAGAGCTGAGGCCTCTGGAGGCAGAACCCAGTAAGACAGAGAAAGCAGGAGGCTGGGCTATGAAATCAACAGGGCTGGAGGAGGGACAGGGAGCCTTCTTGCCAGGGAACCTCCCAATTGGGAGGGGGAGAGGGTGGGAAGAGCTGAGAATAGCAAGGATGGGGGCAGGTGACTGTCCCGGCCCTGGCCGACCTCACACCTCACACATTCCTGGGAGCCAGCTGGGAGACGGCACAGAAGCCACGATGCCCTGCCCAGCCCTGCTTGGCACCAGCCCCTCACCCTCCATCTCACTGGCTCCTGGCTGTCCCATCCCCCTTCCTCCATGACTCCCCAATCTCTCCAATGCCCCTGGGCCTTTTCTTTTGTGGGTTTCAAGCCCTGATTTCAAGGGGGTGGCGCCACCTAGGGAAAGACGGGAAGGTGCAACTTCCATCTGGAATGGGTCCTTCTAGCACCCACTCACCCACTCCTGAGGTCCCACCCCACACTTCCTTCCAAAGAGGAAGTCCCTCCCCTCCACAGCCTCCAACAGGAAGTCCCACTCCTCCCTCCAATAATAATAGTGGCTCCCTAGCCCTTCTTCCCAGCTCCTATCAGTCCACAGCCAGAAACCAGAAGCCTAGCTATCAGACTCACAATTCTGTTCCTCCCTTTTCGGCTGGCCAACATTCCTATGAATGTTGAAACCTGGTCCTCAAAACAGGAAGTCCTGCCCACCCTGTCACCAAACAGGGCATTCTCCCCTAAAGGACAGAGCCAGTAAGTCCCGCCCTCATCTGCTGTCCCTGCTGACTGATGGCTTTGCCACGGCAGGGTTCAGCGCCCATGGCACCCTTTACTCTGCTCCATTCCCTAAGGGAACAGAATTGTAGGGTAACACTTTTTGGTACTGGAAGTCCTAGGGTCCTGCAGTGGTCTGTGTGAACTATAAGGAGGTCATGTCACAGTCCACGAGGACCCTAAGGCACCCGGGACAGAGGGCGATGGAGTTGGGAGGAGACTGAGTCTCCATTGTGGTCTCGGGCACATTTGCCAGTGGGTTCCTAGGGTTGGCCAGATGATCTCTAAATCTGCAAGAGCTCTGGAATTTGACAACAATGAGTCCCTTCAAACTCTCAGAGTCTCTCACTTGACAGTCCTAAGCCAGGGAGTCCCACCCAGCCCTCTCCAGAGAGAGGGAGTAGGTCCCAAATCAACTTTGCCAGGCGGCTATGCCACGCCCAGGTCTCTCTGTTTAAAAGGTCCCCTCCAAGTTCACCTCAGGAGAAGGCCACCTGCAGCTCCCCCGCGTACGCACGCTCCCACTCCATGGAGCCCACCTACCTATCGTCATCGGCGTCCAGGTGACCGCTGATAGCCAGCATGGAGCGGGCCAGGCTGAAGCCCTGCGCCGCTGCCGTGCCAAAGGGGTCGGGAGACTTGTGAACAAGGCTGGCATCGAAGTAGAGGGCTGGGGAGCTGGGGCGAGAGTCAAGGGGGTGCACCTGGAGGCAGAGACCGGGAACCATCACACGGGGACTGAGCGCCAAGAGGGGGTCTCCTTCCCTGCCCCTGCTTGCTCTTTCCCCAGGACGCAGGAGCTCTGCCCCCAAAGCCTTCCCCCCACCCCGGTGAAGGCAGAAGCAAGGGACCTGGCGGCGGTGTTTTGAAGACTGGCCGAGTGGCTCACGGGGTGTCAGACAGGGACTCTGGTTTCCAGCACTGCTCCCTGCCCTTCAGCCCAGAGTTTCTGTCGTCTGCCTATTTATTTATTTTCTTGTTCAGTGCTGTGGATGGAACCTGGGGTCTCGCACATCGTAAGCAAGCGCCCCACAGCTGAACTACATCACAAGGCCCATCTGCGTTCTTAAAGCGACTCCATCCTATGCTTAGAGAGGCTCTGCCCCACTTCTCAGTGGCCCATGGGACTGTTTCGTTTTTACAGCACCTAATATTATCTGAAATTAAAGTATTTATTGTGTCTCCCTAACTAGACGGTAAGTTTGTTCTGCAGCTATTTGTAGAATGAATGAATCCTCAGAAACTGGTCCTCCACAACCCCCACCCCCATTCTAGCCTCTCCACTCCAACTCCTTCGGCCTCAGGTGAAGTTCAACTCCTCTCTTCCCAGCTTAGGGCTGGAGGGGGGGGCGGTCGCTGAGAGGAGGGGAGAGGCGGAGCTGGGCGTGGACCCACACAGCCCAACAGGCGCTGGGGGCGGCTGCAAAAGGGCGGGGGCGACAGGAACAAGACAAGACGCCTCTGTGAGGCCCTGGGAGGCCCCAGCTTCTTGGAAAAGCCAGGAACAGAGAGTCCAGGGTGGGGAAAGGGACAGAGGAGAGGAAGGGGCCCCAGGTGGCGCCCCCTGGCTCAAGGAGATGTACAGAAACTGTGGAAGAGGAGCAAAGCGTGGGGCAGGGAAATAGCAGCACCATTATGCGCACACAAGTGACTGGGACTCTCGGTGGTGGAACGAAGCAGGGTTGGGACGCTGAGGGGAGAGGGGAAGGCTCTGTCAAGGGTTCGGGCCAGAGAGCAGAGGGGCTGGTGGCTTGCACTGCGTAAGTCTGGGGACTGGGCCTGCATCTTCTTCCCCGAGTAGGAACTGAATGAAAGCGCTCCAGAAGGAGAGGTGAGGGTCAGGAGCGCAGAGCTGGAGGCCAGGAGGGAGTGGGGGGAGCCGGTCCTGACTGGTCCTGACAGGGCCCAGACATCCAGGCTCAGGATATTTTTACACTGTGGTTTGTGCCCAAGGCCAGGAAGGGGAAAGAGCCCTCATCCTCGCACTCCCTGCCCTTCCTCCCTCCTGGAGACCAAGGTGTTATTTTCTCCTCCAGGGCAAAAGCATCCAACCCTCACATCCCTGGCTTCCCACACACCCCCAGCCAGGGACCCAGGCATCCTGCCCCCGGCCCAGACTTGTTCCCCTTTCAGAGGCAGGAAGCAGAAAGAGCCCAGCAGTTAACTCCTTCCCTCCTGCTCCCCTCGCCTTTCCCACTCCAAGGCCATCCCCTGCTAGCAATGCTGGAAAGGCTCAGGGGTAGAGAAGACGGAAGACTGGGGGGGACAGGACAAGTTGGCCACCCCCCATCCCTGTAATCCAGCCGCCCTCCCCACTTCCTCAGTTCCTCAAAGAAACTTGGCTTGCAACAGAGCTAGCGAAGGGGGCTGGGATGGGTATGCGGTGGGCAGAAGACAGCCATCCTGGGTCCTGGATCTGACAGTCTTGCAATGGAATGCCAACCTTTTATGGCAGCCCCACACCCTGGCAGCTCCTCCCTCAAGGGCCCAACCACAGAGCGGGGACCTCCACACTCATCACCTGGAGCCAGAGGGGTAAGGGCAAGGCAGAGGGTGCAGCTGAAGTGAGTGGGCCACTTACACCACAGGCTTTATGCAAATAGAATCAAGGGGCCAAAAGCAACAATTTAAAGGCCAAAGAGAAAGAAAGAAGATGCAAAACGAAGGAAAGAGGGAGCCAGAGAGATAAAGAAGGAGCAGACTTCAAAGTGGGATGGCAGGGGGGGAGGAGGAGCTATCTGACCCACCTGACAGGCAGATGGCATGGAGGTGGGAAGGACAGGATGGACTTGCAGGCAGGGAAGCCCAGGATGGAGGTTAAGCCAGGACTAAAAAGGCCAAGCACAGCCCTCAGGTGTCTCCCCAACCTGGAATCCAACTCTTACCTGCCCTGTCTCCTCTGAAGCAACCAAATCCATCCTCAGCCGAACGGTTCCATCTTTCCTCCGGGACAGTGGCGGGGTCCCCACTGCTGAGCCCCCAGCCTCCACTTCCACCCTCAGGGAGGGCAGGGGCGTGGCAGCCAGGGAGGAGCCCGTGCTATCCCCAGTCCTGAGCTCTGGGGGGCGCTGCTGGGGCGGAGAGCCCGACAGGAGGGGTGTCTCCACCTTGGCCTTGCTAGGCACGGCCAGCTGGCCCAGTCCCCCTGTGAAGGAGCGGGCCTGAGGTCCAGGGGAGCTGGGGGGCGGGCGGAGCCAGGAGGTGGGGCCCTGAGACAGGCCTTGCTGTGGGATGGGGGTGCCCAGGCCCAAGCTGGTCAGCTCCAACCTGGAATCCAAAGATCTGCCCCCAGTGCCCCCTGAGGCCCCTCGAATTCCTTCCAGGAGCCGGCCAAAGCTTGGGGGCTCCAGGTCTCTCTCGTAAACATCCACACACGTCCAACGACCTCGGCGATAAGGCTCTCCCAAGCCGTGGGGCAGCTTCACCACCCGGAAACGGGAGGCGGGGGCACCAGGTGGTGGGGAGCCATTCCTGGGGGTGCCCCTGCCCCCTGGATCAGGGCTGGGCTCCCCGTTGGGCAGGCGGGGTGGCGGCCCAGTGGGGGCCGGTGGGGCAGGAGGATCCGAAGCCCCTGGGCTCCCTGGGCCCTCGTAGTCCGTGGTGACGCTGGTGATTTGGAAACTGCTCTTCTTCTTGCCCCCACTCATGGTCTTTAGGGGTCCTGGACTGGGCAGGGCTGGGGGCGGGGCGGGGCTCCCGGAGCGGGTTCAGGCACCCCTAGAACAGGGGGGCCACATGGCGGGGGCATCGGGGCCCCTGGGGACGTCTGGGTCCGACATGGCAGGAGGCCTTGTGGGAAGTGGGGGTGCCTGGTTGGTGACGGGAGAACCAGAGAGGGGAGGTGGCGGGAGAGGGGGGGGCAGGGGCAGGTTTTTCCTGCTGCTGTCCTCGCCGAACTCCAGAGCTGAGTTTGCAAACTGGAAAAAGAGAGAGAGTATGAGTGAGAGTGGGAGCGCGCGCGTGCTCGAGCGCAGGAGCGAGCGGGCTACCTCGGGGCTTCCTCTCCGGGGAGCAGAACCGGGGAGGAAGGGGAAACCGCTAGAGACCCAGAGACAAAGAGACAGGCCGAGATGACAGGCACAGGAGCACAGGAGGCAGGGCGCAGAGGGCACGAGAGAGCAGGAAGAGGCGGCTTGAGACCCAAAGTTGGGCACTGCCTGGCAGTCAAACTCGCAGGACCGAACTGTCCCCAGAGCTTGGGACTCCAGGGCCTGGGTGAATGGGGAACATAAGGAGACCCCGCCTGGCCTGGCGAGCTGCCCCCCACAATTAATCCCCACATCGCTGGGGCAGGCCTTTTGCCCTCCGCCCCAAGCGCCCCGCCCAGCCCCGAGCCCTACCTCTCGGGCCTCGGCCGCCGAGCACAGCCGGGGTCCCAGCGACTAAGACGTCGGGCTGTCCTCCTGGGGCCCCCTGGCCCCGGGCAGTGCGATCAGAGGCCGCCCGGCGCTCTCCGGGGGCTGCGCTGCGCCCCGCGAGGCATCTCCGGGAAAGTTTTGTGCAGAGGGGACGGACCCCGTGCCTGCTCACCGGGCCTCTGCAGCCCCGGGGCTCCCGACGGCTTGGTGGGGGCGGCTCAGCCCCCCAGCCGCTCCAGGTGACAGCTGGTCTCGGCGACAGGGCCTCCCAAGGCTGCTTCCGAGCGGCCCCGCTGGGTCTGTCTCTCCGCGGCTCGGCTCGCTCCGCTCCGGCTCCGTCTCCGTCTTTCTCTTTCTGGGCTGTTGACAACCCCCACACCAGGAAGTCCTGCCTCCTCGGGCCTGCTCACTGCTCCTCTCCTCCTCCTCCTCCTTCCCCTCTTCCTCCTCCCTCCTCCCTCCTCCCTCCCGGGGCTCCCCGCCAGCTGGCCCTGAGCCAGGCCTGCCACAGCCGCCGCTGTAGCAGTTGCTGCGCGGCTGGGGCCCCAACCAGGCAGCCTTAACCCCACACCTGCTGGGCCCCAGCCGGGCTCTTCCTCGCGGGAGGGGCCGGGGAGGGTGGCGAGCAGGGGGAGGAGTCTGCGGGGCGGCCAGGGATTCCCTTACTTGTGGGTACTTGCTGCCATTGGCCTGCAGGGAACAAACCGGGCATGTCTTGGGTGCCTGGTTGCCCCTAAGTTCCAAATAAATGCTATGGTGCAGCATGGTGGCTGTCACTGTCAGAATGTCTCTGGTGTGCATGGTGAATGCATGGGGAAATTCCTATTATTTCACACACACACACACACACACACACACACACACACACTCCTTTTAAAATTTTTATTTATTTATTTATTATTTTTTGTCTTTTTTGAGACAGGGTCTCACTAATGCAGTTCAGGCTGGCCTTGAGCTCACCTTGTAGCCCAGGGTGGTCTCAAACTTGCAACAATCCTCCTGCCTCAGCCTCTCCAGTGCTGGGATCACAGGCGTGCGCCACCACGCCCACCTTTTAAAAATATAGTGAAGCTGGGTGTGGTATTGCATATATGCAAACCCAGCTCTCTGGGAGGCTGAGGCAGGAGGATTGCCAAGCTCCAGCCCAAATTGGACAAGTGACTTGGCCAGATCCTGTCTGAAAAGTAAGGCGGGGCGGTGCCTAGGGCTGTAGCTCTATGAGAAGGCCCCAGAGTCAAATCCCATTAGCAAATAAATAAATAAATAAATGAAGGATTATGAAAACTTTCAAAGTAGAGAAAACAGTATAACAAACTTCTACATACCCATCACATAACTTGCAAAAACTATCAACTACTCCTAGCCAATCTTATTTGACCTCTCCCCCTCCTCCAATTTCTTTTCTTAGACTTTGCTGGAGTGTTTGAAATCAAATCCCAGATATCATATTATTGTCTTATTGGTTATAGAAATGGAGACCCAGGTAGCCTGAAATGGGCTATCAGAGGGCTGGGCATGATTGCATACGCCTGTAATCCCAGCACTCTAGAAGGCTGAGGCAGGAGGATTGCAATTTACAGACTTAGTGAGACCCTGCCTCAAAAATAAATAGCCGGGAGGGTGGAATAAATAAATAAATAAATAAATAAATAGCGGGGCGTGGTGGTACACGCCTGTAATCCCAGCACTCGAGAGGCTGAGGCAGGAGGATCGTTGCAAGTTTGAAACCAGCCTGGGCTACAAATGGAGCTCAAGCCCAGCCTGAACTGCATAGTGAGACCCTGTCTCAAAAAAAACAAAAAATAAAAAAATAATAAATAATTAAGGACTGGGGCAATAGCTAGCTCAGTGCAAAGCCCTGGCTCCAATCCCTAGTACTGAAAGAGAGGGGAAAAAAAAAAAGGCCCTCAGTGATAGAAAAGGGGCATTCTATACATTCACATATGTCCTCATCCAATCCCTACATAGAAATTGTCACAAAAACCTGCAGAAGCAGGTACTGACCTGCACCTTCTCTCCAACAGCTAGACACAAATATGTTCATGCCACCACCCACACAGGTTCACCTGAGGACCCACCCCCCAGGCTACAGGTACAGCTGCTCCCCACTCCTAACTCTCTCTCCTCCCCCTCCCTTCCCATTCCATCCTTGGGCTCCAGGAAGGGGAACCCCAGTAACACCTGTAAAGTGTTTACTCTGAGTTTGATGTGAAGGACAAACTTCCAACTGTTGTATTCTTTTTCTGTGCTCTTAACCAAAAATTTTTTTTTGTCTTTTTGAGACAGGGTCTCGCTATGCAGTTCAGGCTGGCCTTGAGGTCACTCTGTAGCTCAGGCTGGCCTTAAACTCGCAACAATCCTCCTGCCTCAGCCTTCCCAGTGCAGGATTACAGGCGTGCACCACCACGCCCGGCCAATTTTTTTTTTTTTTTTTTTGGTACTGGGAATCGAACTCAGCACCTTGTGCTTGCTAGGCAGGCACATGTGCCACTGAGCTATATCCCCAGCCCTCTTAACCAAAATTCTGAGGGGCATTCTTTTAGCCAAAGCACTGTCTAAAAGCCGGATCTGCCTTCACACTGAAGTTCAGAGGGAGATGGATGGATTCTAATCAACACTGGTCAAGAAGAACTGTTCTTGTATGTTAAAAGTTCCTACCAGCTGTGGTGATGCAAGCCTGTAATCCTAGCACTCTGGGAGGCTGAGGCAGGAAGATCACAAGTTCGATCCCAGTCTGGGCAATCTAGGGACTTCCTGAGACCTTCTCTCTAAGTTTAAAAAAAAAAATTTTTTTAAATTTTTTTTTTTAAAGGGTGAAAATGTAGCTCAGTGCAAAAGGCTGGGGCTTCAATCTCCAGTCCTGGGGAAGAAAAATGTTCCTCACATTATCTCATGCAGAAGAGAGGCGGGTGGGTGAGACGCTCCTTCAGAAGAAACAGAGGCCCATAAGCACTTGGATACTTGCCCGGCACCTCAGTGGCCTAAGGGACTGTCATGGAGCTGTCCGGACTCCTATACTAGGGCTTTCTCTCACATTTCTCCTTCTGTTTAAGCTCATGGAAATTTTTAATCACTCTAGGACTAGGCCAAAGTAAAACAATACACCCTCCAGCCCCTTTGTATATATTTGGTCTTTATTTTTTGTTACGATGTATGCGTTGCCCACTCTCTCCCCTCAGCCATGAGGTCCAGGAATCAGCCTCGCAAGCACCCTACTTTTGCAGCCCCTGTTCTTGTCCTGCAGGACCCCTCCTCTCCGAACGCGGCCCCCACTGCTCGGCCCTTCCCTCCTGGTGCTGCCTCCTACAAACTCTTCAAAAGGAGTCTTCGGACCCTCCCTTTCTCTGCTGTGGAGACTTGGCATCATCGTGGACTTTTCCTAGTCTAGAGTCCCTGGGACGTTATCCGTCTCTGCAAAAATGTTTGTTAAATGAATACATATAAATTATTTCACACCAAGGTGTAAATGTGTACTGAAAGGACAAAATATACTGTGTTTTAGTATATTATCTCTCCTGGGAAGATTTCTAACAGCCTTTAATAGGTGGGCCCCTTGACTTACAAAGCACTTCCTTCCCAACTCAGCAAGATTATTGAGGTCGGTAAGGGATGAAGCATCTTTCAGAGAGGTGCTGCAATTTTCCTAAGGCCACACAGCACATCTGCAAAGACTTTGCCATATAGAGTGGCATTCACAGGTTCCAGGGATTGGGACGTGCCTATTTTGAAGGATTCATTTTTAGGCCACTTAAGGGTACAACCGAAGTCTTCTTGAAGCTAACTTATCCAACGACAATTTGTGCGCCAGAGGGATTTCGAAGTGAGGAATTTCTCAGCAGCTGGTGTAAAAGGTCGAGCGGGGGCGGGGCTCCCTCAGTGCCCCTGCCACTGCACCCCTGTGGGGGTCCCAGGCAGAGACCAACCCCAGTGCACCCACATCCCGGCGGGCGGCGCCCGCGGAGTCAAAGGTTAAGGGGAGGCTGACTTGGGCTGCGGGGGCGGACAGGCGGAAGACTTTGAGCCCAGGCGGTGGAACAAGGTCCGGGCGCCTGGGAGGCTGCAGGGGGAGGAGGCCGCCACTGAGCCGGCCAACCCTAGCCCTCCCCACACCTGGGGGGCTGCGAGGCACGGGGCCCGGCCGCCGAGCACGCCCCCTGCTGGGTAGAGCCGCCCGCGTCCGGCTCCCGACTTTCGGAGCCCCCCTGCCGGGAAGGCGGCCCCCCCTGCCGGCCTCGCCGCCTCACTGCACCCCGGACCCGCCGCTGCAGCCTCGGCCCCGGCCCGAGCCGGGTGCGCAGCCCGGAGCGCAGAGTGCGCGGGGTTCGCGGAGGGTGCGGACCCCGGGCTGCCGCTGGGGGGCGCCTCTCGGCCAGGGCCCTAGAGACCCAGCCCAGCACGGCCCGGCCGGGCAGGGGGCGCGCCGCGGACGCCCCTCGGCCAGGACAGGCCGCTACAGGACCCCAGGCGCCCCGCGACCTTGCTCCGCGTCTCCCCCGCAAGCTCCGCGGCCCCGGCGCCCTCCGCCCAGGCCGGCGGCGCAGCTCTGCACGGCCGCTAGCGCTCCGTCCTTGGAGGGTGTGGAAGGGTGGGTTTGGGGCCGGGGGCGGGTCTGGGGGCGGACCCGGAGGCGGGGCTGTCTCTGCGGCAGGGCCCAGCTCGGCTCCCCCCGGTCTCTCTGTCTCTCCTCCTCCCTCCTCCTGCTCCGGGCGGAGCCCGGCATGGGGGGGCCGGCGCCCGGCAGGCCAGGTACGGTGATGTAGAAATTGGGGAGGCTTGGTGCGGGGAGGCGCTGGTGGGGGGACAAGGGGCAGGGAGGATCGGCGGGGTGAGAAGCGGAGAAGCCCAGAGCAGCAGGACAAGGGGAGCGGAGGGGTGCCCGGGAACCTGGGCCCTTGGATGGAGTGGGGAATGAAGCAGGCCAGGTTTGGAACAAACAGGGGCAGGGGAGGCCGGCAATGAGGAGGGGCGCCGGGGAGGAGAAGTGAGCTGAGGCGCACGGGGAGAGTGTGTTTGGGGGAAGGGAAGGCAGAGCAGGTATGGAGGCCGCAGCTTGGGAGGTAGCTGTGGGGCCAGACTGGAGACCCCCGGGTGGGATGGAGGGGTGGGACTGGAAACGTGAAGCTGGGGTTCTCCCAAACCCTGGAGAAGGAAGGTGATTGGGACCCTCAGCGAGGGAAGGAGGGGGCATCATTGCTGAGGGGCCAGGGAACTGAAATAGGGGTGGACGGAGGCCCAGGCCAGGACCAGAAGAGGGGGACGCCAGGGAGTGGAGTTAGATGGATGGGTGGAATCTTAGATGCCCAGTTCAGTGGCCCCACCTTTTCGTCAGCACCCTGCCCTGCCCTTGTGATCCCCCACCAAGCCTCAGGGCCCGAGCAGGGGTGACAAGGCTGAGGCTCCCCTTCCCCAGTGGGGTGCAGTGTACGCAAGTAGGCCCTGGGCATAACTCCTTGTCTGTAGGTGTGTCCGGTTCCGCGCAGATCTGAGTGTGTCTGGAGGTCCGTGTGAGCCTGTGGGTGTGTCGGTGGGTGTTTGCGTCTGTGTGTGTTTGCTGCTCCTAGGTGTGCATTCACCTCTGTCCACCTGTGTGTCTGGTGCTCTTGTTTGTAGATCCGGGCTGAGTGGTGTGTGTGTCTGAATGTGTGTTTGTGGGGCCTGTCTGGATGGCAGAGCAGGCTGTATTTACACAGGATGAGAATCTGTGTCAATCTGATCTCTCCACCGTGTGTACGTGTGGCTCGGAACACCTTTGTCGGGGTGTGTGGCTCTGTGTAAGGGAGCCTATGTCTGTCTGTCTGTGTGTCTGGGGCTCCGAGAGGCTGCTGGGTTTTCTGTGCCTGTCTGTTTTCCTCTCTGAGGACCCAAGTCATGTCTCTGCTCCTTTCTCTCTTTCATTCCTTCCTGGCCCCCACCCACCCCACCTCTTCCTTTTTCTCCTCACTTGACCCCTATCAAGTGGATCCGGGACCCAGGGAGGGCCGCCCCCCGGGCCTGGTGGCACTGAGCAGGGCCCCCCAGCCCCCACCTCCTGCCCCACGACATGAACCTCCTCTACCGAAAAACCAAGCTGGAGTGGAGGCAGCACAAGGAAGAGGAGGCCAAGAGGAGGTAAGGACGGGCCCCACACTGGCCCCGTGTCTGTCCCACCTGTGCCAGCCCCCTTGTGGGCCACAGCCCCTCATGTCGTCCGTGGGATCTCTAATCGCGGACTGTGCTCAGTGCAGACGGCTGGGACTGTGACACCTGGTCCAGCCCTGCCATGGCTGCCTGAGCGGCTTCCAGCTCTGGAGCACCCTGTTGGCTCTTCCCTATCCCCAGGGCCCGAGTCACACCTTCCTGACTCACCTCCAGCCTGTGGCCTTCTTCTTTCTGTCCTTGTGGGGCAGGCTGCTGGCTCCTGGTCACCTGACCTTGGAAGGGGCAGGCCCCACTGCCCTCACAGGGTCCAGGGACAGGGTCGGTTCAGAGGCCTCTGAGAGCATCCACATGGTCCCTTCCCAGTCCCCTGTTGGGGAGGTGAGTGACCAAGTGACAAAGCTGTGTGCTGAGGTGGGGGATGTGCAGAAGAGCCAGGGCCAGGGACCCCACTGCCCCCAGACCTGCACCCCTGCTGGCCCTTTCTCCTTCCCCTTGCAGAGACGCAGGCCTGGCCTCTGCCATCCCATGTCTGTCCGCCTTCTCTTTACTTCCCATTGACTGCACAGCCTCCTGGAGCCTGAGTCAGAACCACTTCCCTGCTCCCTGCTCCCTCCTCTCAACTGTGGAGTTTAATTCTTGTTAATTAGATTAATCAGAGTGATCGCTGTAGCGATCTCTCCCTAATGAAGGGTTGGTAGACAGGGCCTTAATGAGCGCCCACCCCACAGCAGCTCTCCCCTGTTCCCCGCCAGCTGCCCCCCCCAGGAGCCCAGGGACAGTGAAAAGGAGTAGGGTGAGTGGGGAGGAGGGGCGGGGAAGGAGGAGAAAGATGGGGGGAGACTGCTGTGCTGATGCAGACTGCACACCCTGCATCTGGGAGAGGGGACGTGTGAGGACGGAGGCCCCAGGAGCCCGACATGAGGGGAGGCCAGAGGCCAGGCCTGGGTCAGTGTGACTGAGAGCCCAGGGCCATGGCAGCAGGTGTATCTGTCTGTCTATCAGGCGGGCTGTTCCCTGTACCAGTGCTAGATATGCCCAGGCTGGGAACTGGCAGCCCCAGTGACACTCCCTGGCGAACAAACACCCCCTCTTCTCATTTCTGCCAACCACCCCCATGCCGGACCTTTTCTGACCCTGGGGATTCTGCCCCAGATCCCTGCCTTAGATCTTCAAGTGTCCCCATACCCACTCCAGGCTTCCTTCCTCCTTCCCAGGAGGCACAGGGTTACCAGCATCTCTCGAGGTTGGGGAGACCCAGGCCTGAGGCCTGACCTCTGTCCCATCTGGGTCTTCTTTCTCCAGCTCCAGTAAAGAGGTGGCCCCTGCAGGCCCTGCAGGGCCCGGGGCCGGCCCGGGGCCTGGAGTCCGTGTGCGGGACATCGCCTCGCTGCGCCGCTCCCTCAGGATGGGCTTCATGACGATGCCCGCCTCCCAGGAGCATACCCCCCACCCTTGCCGCAGCGCCATGGCCCCACGCTCCCTCTCCTGCCACTCTGTGGGCAGCATGGACAGTGTGGGGGGTGGGCCTGGGGGTAGCGGTGGGGGTCTCACAGAGGACAGCAGCACCCGAAGACCCCCAGCCAAGCCTCGGCGACACCCGAGCACCAAGCTCAGCATGGCAGGATCAGGGGCAGAGACACCCCCCAGCAAGAAAGCAGGTGAGATACCCATGATCCCTCCGGATGGGGAGCTGGGAGAATCCATTCCAGATTGGGGGGGGGGTGCTCTGGGAGGGTTCATTTAGGGAAGAGCCAAGGAAGTGGAAGGTTCCATTCCCAAAAGGAATGGGGGGAGTCCTTTTGGGTGGACCTAAGATGAACCATTCAAAGGCGGGGAACACTTCCTGAAAGTTCATTCTTGAGAGAGGGGGTTATGGCCCTGGAGGGACCCAAGAAGGGTAGGAAAGAATTGAGGGCAGGAGCTACAGTTTCCAGGGAGCGCCTCAGAAAGACTGGCTGGTAGCAAAAAGAACCTCCCTGTGCTGTCAGCTTAGGGCTGTGGGGAAAGCGAAGAGGCAGCTATGTCCTTGCAGGGGTCAAGAGGTCGGAAAGGATTGTCTCTGTCCACCTCTCCCCAGGCTCACAGAAACCCACCCCAGAAGGCCGAGAGTCTGGCCGGAAGGTCCCTCCGCAGAAGCCCAGGCGAAGCCCCAACACCCAGCTCTCTGTCTCCTTCGAAGAGTCCTGCCCCGCAGCACCTTCTCCTCGCGGGGGGAACCTGCCTCTGCAGCGCCTGAGTAGGAGTTCCAGAGTCGCTGGGGACCCTGATGTGGGTGCCCAGGAAGAAGAGCCCGTGTACATCGAGATGGTGGGGGACGTCTTCAAGGGAGGAGGCCGAAGCGGAGGGGGACTGACAGGGCCCGCTCTTGGGGGTGGGGGCCCAACCCCCCCAGCTGGTGCCGACTCGGACTCCGAAGAGAGTGAGGCCATCTATGAAGAAATGAAGTACCCGCTGCCTGAAGAGGCAGGGGAAGGCCGAGCCAACGGGGCTGCCCCATTGACAGCGACCTCCCCTCCACACCAGCCTCATGCCCTGCAGCCCCACACCCAGCGCCGCCCCGCTTCAGCCCTCCCGAGCCGGAGGGATGGGACGCCCACCAAGACTACTCCTTGTGAAATACCCCCACCCTTCCCTAACCTCCTCCAGCACCGTCCTCCACTCCTGGCCTTCCCCCAAGCCAAGTCTGCTTCCCGAACCCCCGGTGATGGGATCTCGAGGCTACCGGTCCTCTGCCACTCCAAGGAGCCTACAGGTTCCACCCCAGCTCCCCAAGTGCCTGCAAGAGAGCGGGAGACGCCACCCCCGCCGCCTCCGCCTCCTGCTGCCAACCTGCTGCTGCTGGGACCATCGGGCAGAGCCCGGAGCCACTCAACACCATTGCCACCCCAGGGCTCTGGCCAGTCCCGGGGGGAAAGGGAGCTCCCCAACTCCCACAGCATGATCTGCCCTAAGGCAGTGGGGGTGCCGGCAGCCCCCTCTGCCCCAGCTGCCTTGCTCCCCGGCCCCCCCAAGGACAAAGCCGTGTCTTACACCATGGTGTACTCGGCAGTCAAGGTGACCACGCACTCTGTCCTTCCAGCTGGCCCACCCCTAGGTGTTGGGGAGCCGAAGACAGAGAAGGAGATCTCAGTTCTCCATGGCATGCTGTGTGCCAGCTCGAGGCCCCCCGTGCCAGGGAAGGCCAGCCCCCATAGTGGGGCTGTGGGCACAGCAGCTGGGGTCCTGCACCACCGCAGCTGCCTGGCCTCCCCTCACAGCCTTCCGGACCCAACTGCAGGCCCCCTGGCCCCCCTCTGGACCTACCCAGCCACAGCAGCTGGACTCAAGAGACCCCCTGCCTATGAGAGCCTCAAGGCTGGGGGGGTGCTGAACAAGGGCTGTGGAGTGGGGGCCCCGTCCCCCATGGTCAAGATCCAGCTACAGGAGCAAGGGACTGATGGGGGTGCTTTTGCCAGCATCTCCTGTGCCCACGTCATCGCCAGTGCAGGGACACCAGAAGAGGAAGAAGAGATGGGTGCCACGACATTTGGGGCCGGCTGGGCTCTCCAGAGGAAGGTCCTCTATGGAGGGAGAAAGGCAAAGGAGCTGGACAGTGAGTGAGGGGTGGGCACTGGGATGTGGGGGGTGCTGGGTTGGTTTTGGGAAAACGTTGGAGGGAGCCCTTAGAAGCCACAGCCCATTGTCCTGGACTGAGAAGTTTCCTGGGAGACCAAAAGGATGGAGAAGGGCCGCAGAGTGAAGGGATGGGGTCCTGGCGTGTGTGTCGAAGGGGCAGGGAGATCTGGGATAGGGACTTTAAGTCACGCCTGCCCCGCTTCAGTCCCTGCCCCTCCCTTTCCTGGGCTGCAGGGGTGTGTGTTTGTGAGTGTGCGCACACTAGGAGCTAAACACAGCTGCCTCCCAGCTATTACCATGGCAACCCATCCAGACTGGAGGGAAAGGAGAGGGAGGCCCCTACCGTTGCTTGGCAACGCAATGCTCTGCCAGGCCTACTCTCAGAGATGAGCTTAGTTCACATGCAGCCCTTCCCCCTGCGGCCCCCCACCTTTCTGGGCTCCGGATTTGGGATGCTGTCCCTACTGGGAACAGTACTTCTGATCTCCAGGAGGTCATTCTGGCCCTGTCTGGGTCTGGACGGGCTCAGAAGCTTAAGCTAGGGCAGACGCTGCCACTCTGACCTGGGAAAAGAGGTTTGGGCAGTAACAAATATACATGACTTTCAGCCCCAGGGGATTGTAGCAATGGGCGGAAGGAAGGTGGCCTGCTACACTGTGTCCCTTCTGTACTTCAAAAAGAGGGCTGTCTGTGCTACCTCGTGTGTGGCTGGAGGAATGGAAAATCCCCTTCCCCATGCAGGCACTGAGCTCTCCTTGTCATTCCAGCAGAGGTCGAGGACGGTGCCCGGGCTTGGAATGGCAGTTCCGAGGGTCCAGGCAAGGTGGAGCGTGAGGACAGGGGCCCTGTGGCATCAGGGATCCCAGTGAGGAGCCAGGGGGCAGAGGGCCTGCTGGCCAGGATGCACCACGACCGAGGAGGAAGCCGCACCGCGCTGCCCATGCCCTGCCAGACCTTCCCTGCCTGCCACCGAAACGGAGGTGACACCCTGCCCATATGCACCCCACAGAGGTCGGGTGGGCTGGGGGCATCTCCCAGGGGCCAGCTTGGCCTTTCCTGACAGCCTATCAATATCCATGTCTAGGGCCCTAAATTGTACCATGCCTGCATCTCCTGTCCTCTGACGAGGCATCGAGCAGGCTGGCCCTGGGCTCCTCAGGGAACTGGAGTGGGGAGCACCCGAGGCCCGTCTACTTATCCCTGGTTCTTCTGCTGCAGACTTCACAGGAGGCTACCGCCTGGGGCGCTCAGCCTCCACCTCAGGAGTCCGGCAGGCTGCGCTGTACACCCCCCGGCCCTGCAGCCAGCCTAGGGATGCCCTGAGCCAGGTGAGGTGTGGGTTTTCTTTTATCTGTAAAGGACTAGGTAAGACTTGAGTGTGGAAAGAAAGGTAGGAAAGGGCTCAGGCAGGCTGGGGCTTGAGCCAGTATGGTTGGCACAGACTGATGGGGACTGGGAAACTCAGGGGGAGGGGTCTGGGAACCCACCCAAATGGGGCTGTTTAAAATGGGCAGAGGAACCCAGGCCTGGGTAAGCATTCCTATAATCCCAGCACCTGGGACGCTGAGGCAGGAGGATTACAAGTCAGAGCCAAGCCTGGGCAATTTATTGAGAACCTGTTTTTTAAAAAAAAGGAAGAGGTAGGTGGGGTGGTGCCTGTAATCCCAGCACCCAGGAGGCTGAGGCAGGAGGATCACTGCAAATTCAAGGCCAGCCTGGGTTACGTAATGAGTTCAAGGCCAGGCTGAACCACAGGACAAAACCTAGTCTCAAATTATATACAGCCAGGTGTGGTGAGGCATGCCTGTAATCCCAGCAAGCACTCAGGAGGCTGAGGCAGGAGGATCGTTGCGAGTTCGAGACCAGCTTAGGCTACATAAGTGAGCTCAAGGCCGGTCTGAACTGCATAGTGAGACTGGCCAAAAATAACAAAACAAAAACAAAACAAAAAAAAACAAAAAAAAAGACCAAAAAAAAAATTATATACAGAGAAAATGGGGACATAGCTCAGTGTCTGCACCCTGGATCAGTCCAAAACAGAAGTGCCAGGAGGTAGGGAAGGAGGCCCAGTTCAGAGATCAGCCAAGGTCACTGCTAACCAACAACAAATGTACCTTGGGTGAACTTAAAAGAAAGACCCCTCGGGGGACCACTTAGAAAAATGCGTGTCAGGGAGGATGATATTTAATCATTTTGTTGCCCTTCCTCAGGGCAAGACAGGCGCAGCCTGGCACGCGGGCCCTGGGATGGGGAAGGGACGCAAGGGGCTGGACTTGGGTCCCGTGCCCACCCACGGCCAACGAGGACGAAAGGTCTTGTTTGTGGGGGAAGATGCAAGGCTGGGCCTGAGGTCCTTGACCCCTCGTCTTTCCCACCTCCAGACCCACCCCGCGCTGCCGCTGCCCCTGCCCTTGCCGCCCCCGCCGGCCCGAGAGCGCGACGGGAAGCTGCTGGAGGTGATCGAGCGCAAGCGCTGCGTGTGCAAGGAGATCAAGGCGCGCCACCGCCCCGACCGCGGCCTCTGCAAGCAGGAGAGCATGCCTATCCTCCCCAGCTGGCGGCGGGGGCCCGAGCCCCGCAAGTCCGGCACCCCGCCCTGCCGCCGGCAGCACACGGTCCTCTGGGACACGGCCATCTGAGGGGGCGGGGCGGCCCGGGCACCTGGACTGGGAGGGGGCGGGGCCGGCGCGGCCGGACAGACTGAAGGACCAGGTGAGAGCGCCAGGGAGAGCCCGGCCCTCTACCCTTGTAGCCCCGGGGAAGGAAGCCTGCCAGGCCCATCCGGGCTTGGGGTGGGGAGGAGGGAGAGGGGGTCTGCTTGTGGGGTTCTGGTCGTGGGAGACCCCTCCTCCTGACGAGGCGAAGGGCAGGGCAAGGTGGAGGTGGGCAGGGGGAAGCGGGAAGGGTCACATGGGTGGGTCAGGTGGAAGAGGGACGAGAGCCAGTGGGAGAGCAGCTCTCTGCCTGAGAGCCGGGATTTGGGGAGGGGTATTTATTTTGTTATTTATTTTAGTCTGGAGGGCAGTTCCCGGCCCTCTGACCCACTCCTGAGCGGGGAGTGGAGAACAAGGCCAAGCTTGCACTCTCCCCATTGCCGATGCCGAAAGGCCCCGCCATCCGCCTGCCCCTCAGCGAGGGAGGTGTTCGCTTGGGGAGCGGAGGGACCCGAGCTCGGGGGCGCCAACTCTCTACAGTACAGTATTTACAATTTTGCCAGAATTTGGTAGTGAGTGAGGCCTGCTCTGAAACAGGCATCTTCTTTAGTTCTAGGGTGAGGGTCTAGCGTCAGGGATGGGCGGGATGTGGGGACGGAGGGAAATTTTAGCGGGTGGGGGGATAGGCAGGGTATTTATTTAAATTAAAAAAACAAAAACAAAAACAGAAGAGCTGTCAGGAACTTTTTTTTAATTCCTTTCTTTTCAGAATAATATATTAAAAGACTAATGATCCTAGAGCTGGCTGCTTATATTTCCGGGTGTGTTCTCCCACCCCCACCCCCCTACTCTTGCTTCTCTTTCCTGTCTTTCCTCTGTGGGGGGCGGGCAGGGAGGGGTGTGCAGATGTGGCCAGTCACAGGGAGAGGCGGGGCTTGAGGTAAGTCTTTGGGTCACTGTTTATTGAGCATCTAATGTGTTCTTGGTGGTGCACTGCTGCAGAGTGAGTATCAGGTGTGAAGTTTGTCCTCAGTGCCTTGTAGTCTGCACAGGCAGAGGAAGCCCTGCAAGCCCAGCCTGCCGACAGTAGACAGTGCTGCGGGACAAGGAGGGAGAGGGCTGCGGGCATTCAAGAAGGCTTCCTGGGAGTAGGAGCCTAAAAAGGACAGGTTATGCCTGGGGACGTAACACAGTGGTAGAGCGTTCCTAGCATGGAAGAGGTTTTGACCTCCAGCACCAAAGAAAAGACAGAAATACAGGACTTGGTGCAGAAGGGGAGAGGGGAAGCCCTAAGGTCGGAGCACAATTATTGATGGGACAGTAGGTGGCTGGGCTGCTGGGCATGAAGCGGGTCTGAGTGGTGGGCAGTGAGGACTCCGGCCTCAACAAAGCTCATGCAGGAAGGTTGGCGTCAAAGCGCAATGCTGATCCTCGGGGAGGAGTCCCCAGGAAGCTTGCAGGGAGGCTGTCCACTGCCAGGGAGGAGGACAGGGAGGGCTTTTGGAAGGATGGAGAGCAAAGGACAGCTGCAAGATGAAGCAAGAGGAAACACCCTCAGGACAGGGACGAAGGAGCGGAATTGGTCGCGTGTGAGGCTCAGTCGAGCTGTAGCAATCGGTGAAATGACAGGAAAGAGCGCCTGGCGTGACTCTGGAAGAAGAGCTCAGAATGTGAGAGCAGTGCAAACTCTTCCCAGCCAGAACGGTTTCCAAAATGTGGAAGATGCAAGAGATTTTTTAAAAAGTGGTATGGAAAGCACTTTTTACAACTTTAATAGTTTTGTATTTATTTTTATTCAAAATAGAAAAAGTGTAACCAGCACACCAGGCTACTTGGTATTTCATGGATGTTAATGTACAAGTGAGGGCTAAATGTATTTACTTACCTTTTTTGTTTTATTTTTTATTTTGTGTGTGTGTGTGTGTGTGTGTGTGTGTGTGGTATTGGGGATTGAACCCAGGGCCTTCATACTGTGTTACATCCCTATCCGTATTTATTTATTTATTTATTTAGAGACAGGGTTTGCAGGCTAGACTCTCAACTTGTGATCCTCCTGCCTCAGCCTCCCAGAGTGCTGGGATTACAGTGCCACATGACTGGCTTATTTATTTACTTTGGAGATGAGGTCCTGGCATGTTGCCCAGGTTGGTCTCAAACTCCTGGGCTCAAGCAATCCTGTCTTAGCCTCTGGAGTAGCTGGGACTAGATCTCTGCAACATTGTGCCCAGCTCAACTTTATTTTTGATGGATTTATTTTTGAAAAATTAATCAAATTAATAATGCAGGCCTTCTACAGAATATGAGAAAGGATGACAGTGGTACGTAGATGTTCAAATGTAGGTTTAGAAGTAAGTTGACAGTAGTTTGGAAGAGAGGACAGCAGGAGGTATCAACATAGAGATGGAGCTCAAGGCCAACACAGCTGAGCTCCGGAAGGGACAGGGTGACAAGAAGCAGGAGTTAGGACAAATATAAACAGGCATTTTTTATAGCTATAATTTTAGAAAATTAATGGAAGGAAGTGCCTCATTCATAAGAGCAACAGTAACATAAGATACCTCGGAGTAATTTTTTTGTGGTACTGGGGATCAAACCCAGTGATGCTCTGTCACTGAGCTCTCTCTCCATGCCTTTTATTTTTTAATTTGAAACACTGTCTCACTAAATTGCCCAAGTGGGACTTGAACTTGTGATCCTCCTGCCTCGATTTCCCAAAGTGCTGGGATGACAGGCATGCGCCACCGTGCCCAGCTCTAGGAGTAATTTTAACAAGAAATGTAGAGGACCTATACTGGATCAGTCAATAAAACTGAAGTCCTTTTGTTCACTTAAAAGGGGAAACCAGGCGTGGTTGCACATACCTGTAATCCCAGCACTTGGGAGGCTAAAGCAAGAGGATTGCAGTGAGTGCAAGGCCAGTCTGAACTACATAGCAAGACCCTGTCTCGAAAAAGAGGGTTGGGGAGGGGGGAGACAGAGCTAAGTATACAGCACAGTAGTACAGCACTTGCCTAGCATGCACAAAACCCTGGGTATGATCCCCACCATAGCAAAAAATATTTTTAAAATCAGAACTTGAATAAGCAAAGAGTAATAACTTAGTCTAAGATAAGATGACTCAGTATAAAAGATGTCAGTTTTTGCCAGGTGTGGTTGTACACACCTGTAATCCCAGCTCTCTGGGAGGCTGAGGCAGGAGGATCACAAGTATCAGCCCAGCCTGGGCCACTTAGTGAGACCCCTATCTCAAAATTTTAAAAATAAATAAATAAAAAGAGCTGGGGAGATAACTCAGTTTGAAGGTCCTAGGTTCAATATCCAGTACAAGAAAAAAAAATCAGTTTTCCCACAAATTCAGTGCAGTCTCTAAATCCCAAGAGGATTGAGAAACTCAATAAAATACTTTGAGAGTTTATTCAGAATGATAATGAGGAAACCAGAACATTCTGAAATAGGAGAATGGGGCGAACTGCCCTACCAAATACTAAGACATAAAATAAAATAAGAGCACCCTGGCCCTAGCACAGCACTGTCATAATTGGTCAGAATAGAGTCCAGAAATAGCCCCGAGTCCACATGGGAATCTAACACTTACAGAAAGGGTGGTGTAAAATGATGGGGGAAAGGTTTGGTTATTCAGTAGTTGTTTCCTGAATAGTTACCGGTGGAGAGGGCATGGGTTGGAAGCATGTTTATTTCACTCATTATGCCCAACGATTTAAATGTGAAAACAAGACATTGAAAGGACTAATGGGTGAACATTTTTCTAACCCTGGGATGGAAGAGGGCTGTCTAAAATGAAGGACTGAGGGTATAGCTCAGTGGTAGAGCATTTGCCTAGCATCTGTGGTGTCCTGGGTTCAGGGCCTAGCACTGCAAAAATAAATGAAATGAAAACCAGAAGCACATAAGCCAAAAGGATTTTGAGTGCAATAATCTTTCATAAGAATTCTATATGGCAAAGGTCAAACTACCAATGCTAAACTAGGGAAATATTTCCAACATAATAAAGAGATTAGAGGCTGGGGATTTAGCTCAGCAGCACAGCACCTGCCTGGTAAGCGCGAGGTCGTGAGTTCAATTCCCGGTACCAGAAAAAAAAATAGAGATTAACACAACATCTAGAAGGGTTCAAAAAACAGCAAGGAGTGGACAAATGGAAGAAGATGGACAAATGGCCAATGAGCGCATGAAAAGATGTTCTGTGTCTTTAGTTGGTAGGGAAATGCAAATTAAAACTGCAGCAAATTAAAAATGTCAGCCATTTGGACATTTAAGGTTAAAAATAATAGCAAAGTCAATTGACTTTATCTTTCCCTCTGAAATGTGAGATCCTTAACAGCAAGTGACAGGATCTCATTAGTATTTCTCTTTCCTGTTCCTTCCTAGTTTGGTACACAGGCATTCAACAGTTGTTTATCTCATAAAAAAGTTGAGTGAATTGATAGACAAATGAATGAATGCTTGACTTTCACACAAATGTAGACTATGAAATCATGGGATCTTTACCTGTCTAATATCCAGTGAGAAGAATCTTTTTTTTTTTTTTTTTTTTTTTGGTCTTTTTGAGACAGGGTGTTGCTATGCAGTTCAGGCTGGCCTTGAGCTCACTTTGTAGCCCAGGCTGGTCTCGAACTCACCATGATCCTCCTGCCTCAGCCTCCTGAGTGCTGGGATTACAGGTTTACAGGTGTGCACCACCACACCCAGCAAGAGAAGAATCTTAAAGATTGTCTTTACTGCTAAAATCAAATCACCATCATAGATTAAGACCAAGCAGTATTGCTTTTAACAAAGAAGTAAACAATTTAAATCTTCAAAAAAAGAGAAAGGTTCATGAGTCAGTAGGAAAAAGACCCGGGTGTGGTGGCATTTGCCTGTAATCCCAGCACTTGGGAGGCTGAGGCAGGAGGATCTTGTGAGTTCAAGACCAGCCTGGGCTCCCAGGTAAGCTGAAGGCCAGCCTGAACTGCACAGGGAGACCCTGTCTCAAAAAGGAAAAAAGAAAAGAAAAAGCAACACAAGACACATCACCCAAGAAACAGAAATTAGGAGTGAATATGTTCAGCCTTAGTAATAACTGAGTAATGCAAAATAAAGCAGCAGTAAAATACTTTTCACCCATCAGGGACAAAACTGAAAAAAGTTCCTAACATTGTCAATAAAAGCATAGCAAGACCCTGTCTCAAAAAGACAAAAAAAAAAAAAAAAACCCAAAACATTGTCAATAAAAAAGTCCCTGACAGGTATGTAAAGGAAACAGGCAGTCATTGTACACGTGTAAATTAAGGCCATCCTTTTGGAGGTTAGTTTGATATTTGTGAAACTTTTAAATGTGTAGATTGTTGACTCCCAGATTCCACTTCCAGGAATTGATCCTATGGAAATAGTCACACGCAGGTATGGAAAGCTAAATGTACCAGGGCACTAATTGCGGCATTGTCTGGAAAGATGAAAAGTTGGAAACAGCCCCAAAGCTCATCATGTGGCCGATAAAATCATTTATGGTAACAGTGGAAAACTGAAGTTGTTGAATAGAATGCAGAAGATACAAATGTCCCGATCCCAAGAAGCAGTTCACAGTCAATTAAGAAGTGAATAAGGCAATGTGCAGCAAAATGTACATAGAAAAACCTCTTATAGAAAATTATTGGGGCTGGAGATTTAGCTCAGCAGCACAGTGCCTGCCTGGCAAGTGTGAGGTCATGAGTTCGATCCCCGGTACCGGGGGAAAAAAAAAAAAAAAAAAAAAGAAAATTATTTACTTGTAAATATTTATGGAGGAGAAGGTCTGGAAG